TAAAGTTATCATCCGATTGACTTCAGATTGATACACAGTTTAAGGTCTTGAGACAAACAAGTATATTGATTTTCAGTGAATCTTTTTGACTTGACAGGCCTCGAAATGTTTTAAAAAAGCTACCTGTCACAAGCGACAGTAAATAACCTGTCACTCTCAATTATGAAACTCAAAGACTAATCACATCACACATATCCATACATGTAGGTACACACACACGTGGTTAGGTCTTTGACGTACATTGCTCTATATAAGTATCGTAATATAATATGAAACCTTTTTACTTCTTCGACATCAGAATGCCTAAAAGTTCTTGAAAGTCGGCGAATCTGCTTTGGCTCAGCGACTCTAAGATTCGTACAATTCTATCATCCGTATCCACGTGAATTCCGCAAAGTATCATGGTACCACACTTCCGTACTAAATCGAATACTTCACCGCTGAGTTGTAGAATTCAGATTTTAAAATATCCATCATAAATTGAATATCAAAACACAAATCACACCTGTGCATGGCACCGTATTTACGTGTACCGTGTGCGAAGGACAGATAACGCCACTTGGAATTCCCTTCTCACATATCCAGACTATATTTACACTACAAATTATATTTATATATGAAATATTTTTCCGACCTGATTTTTTGATTTTGTCAAATTGTCTTAAAAATTATTCATAACCTTTATTTATGGAAATTGTTTAAAATTTTTTAAATGATTAAATACACCAAGTAACGAGCCGTGTGTATTTCCATTCCAACCACTACTATATTTACTGTGGTGTCGTTACGTAGAATTATTTCAGGTGACTTGGGGGTGCGTTTTAATTTATTTAGATATAATACTCCATGATGCTATAAACTAGTGTCAAGCAGATGAAAACAAGCGTAGATGGTGTGAAATTCATTAATATAAAATTGTCTACTTCCAAACTGTGTGAGTAACTGTAGCCTACGACAGAGCGAAATGTAAACAGTGCAAATGGCGGCTTTTCGCGGTATTTCTGTGCTCAATTCTTGCATTAAATGTACGTGACGTGGACGTGAGTATTGTGGTCAATTTACTGAACATCAAGTAAAATTTAGTCCACCTGTCGCAAGCGACAGGTAGTTTTATTTGCTACCTGTTAGACGAAAAAATCGCCTGTCGGCGACAAGTAGACAGACGAACATTTCGAGCCATGCTTGAACAGCTAAATCCATGATGTTAAAAGGTTTGTATACTAAACGTTAGCATGGGGCAGAACTATATAAAAACCAAACAAATTCTAATGGTTTTCTGATAATTACTTACTGAGTTGTTACTCTTAATCAGATTTTAATGTATTATAAATGTTTCATTACCGAAAAAAGCAACTCTTGTTGACTACCCGGATGATATAGCTGCTGTGGGCGTATGTTTCGTTGCCTAGCTACCTATCTGTTTAAAAACTTTGATCCTTAATTTCTCCATGGGGAGATAATTTAGGACATTTTTAATGGTATCGTTGAAGTTGGGTCAATGAGATCTACATACATTCCAAATTTCATGAAAATCGTACCAATATTAAAGAAGTTGTCAATTCTGTTTTACTTCCGGGACGAAATGTCAATGACGCAATTTTCGAAATTCGAAAATCGGAAATAGCAGATTTGAAGTAAATATTTCAAGGTACTCAAAGAAAAAAAAATTAGTAACAGGTCACATAGTCACAGTGTTATCATTATGTATGTCAATTTCTTTGTGCATAAAATTCGGTGATTTCTGATTCATAAAACTTTTTGAAAATATTTTTAATCAACGTTCGCACCCCATTTTTTTGGGGGGGGGGGGTAGATCATCCGTATCCACGTGAATTCCGCAAAGTATCATGGTACCACACTTCCGTACTAAATCGAATACTTCACCGCTGAGTTGTAGAATTCAGATTTTAAAATATCCATCATAAATTGAATATCAAAACACAAATCACACCTGTGCATGGCACCGTATTTACGTGTACCGTGTGCGAAGGACAGATAACGCCACTTGGAATTCCCTTCTCACATATCCAGACTATATTTACACTACAAATTATATTTATATATGAAATATTTTTCCGACCTGATTTTTTGATTTTGTCAAATTGTCTTAAAAATTATTCATAACCTTTATTTATGGAAATTGTTTAAAATTTTTTAAATGATTAAATACACCAAGTAACGAGCCGTGTGTATTTCCATTCCAACCACTACTATATTTACTGTGGTGTCGTTACGTAGAATTATTTCAGGTGACTTGGGGGTGCGTTTTAATTTATTTAGATATAATACTCCATGATGCTATAAACTAGTGTCAAGCAGATGAAAACAAGCGTAGATGGTGTGAAATTCATTAATATAAAATTGTCTACTTCCAAACTGTGTGAGTAACTGTAGCCTACGACAGAGCGAAATGTAAACAGTGCAAATGGCGGCTTTTCGCGGTATTTCTGTGCTCAATTCTTGCATTAAATGTACGTGACGTGGACGTGAGTATTGTGGTCAATTTACTGAACATCAAGTAAAATTTAGTCCACCTGTCGCAAGCGACAGGTAGTTTTATTTGCTACCTGTTAGACGAAAAAATCGCCTGTCGGCGACAAGTAGACAGACGAACATTTCGAGCCATGCTTGAACAGCTAAATCCATGATGTTAAAAGGTTTGTATACTAAACGTTAGCATGGGGCAGAACTATATAAAAACCAAACAAATTCTAATGGTTTTCTGATAATTACTTACTGAGTTGTTACTCTTAATCAGATTTTAATGTATTATAAATGTTTCATTACCGAAAAAAGCAACTCTTGTTGACTACCCGGATGATATAGCTGCTGTGGGCGTATGTTTCGTTGCCTAGCTACCTATCTGTTTAAAAACTTTGATCCTTAATTTCTCCATGGGGAGATAATTTAGGACATTTTTAATGGTATCGTTGAAGTTGGGTCAATGAGATCTACATACATTCCAAATTTCATGAAAATCGTACCAATATTAAAGAAGTTGTCAATTCTGTTTTACTTCCGGGACGAAATGTCAATGACGCAATTTTCGAAATTCGAAAATCGGAAATAGCAGATTTGAAGTAAATATTTCAAGGTACTCAAAGAAAAAAAAATTAGTAACAGGTCACATAGTCACAGTGTTATCATTATGTATGTCAATTTCTTTGTGCATAAAATTCGGTGATTTCTGATTCATAAAACTTTTTGAAAATATTTTTAATCAACGTTCGCACCCCATTTTTTGGGGGGGGGGGGGGTAGATCAAAGTTTCAGACAGATCCTATGGTTAGATTCTGAGAAATCCGATTTGCAGAAAATACACACAAAAAAAAATAATAATAATAAAAAAAACTAGATCTGCTAAGCTGATATTAAAGCTTTCATATTCACAATCACTTCCTGTCACATGTCATGGGTCATATATATAGAATCTGAACAAGATAAAAAAAAATCATTAAAATCGGTCAATAACTCGCGAAGTTAATGCGATTTTTCACTCGTAAACAACATTGTCGGCACGAAACACGTCAGACGTAAAATTTGAATTTGTGACATTTTCAAATACATGAAGGAATCATGAATGACTACTGCCAGACAGTTTGCGAAGTGGGTTACCTCTAACAGACACGCCCCAAAATGCCACGCCCAAAACTAGGATAGATTAGCGAGCACTGTTCTGGTGTTCTAAAAACTTAAATTTTTTGCCAGGATTCATAGAATACTAATACCTAGCACGTATTAGCTGGAAATTTTTTATACGCCCACATTTTCATGTGGACGTATTATGCCGTCGCCCCTGTCCGTCCGTCCGTCCACAATTTGTTTGTGGACACTCTACAGGTCACAATTCTTATCCGATTTTGACGAAACTTGAAATATAGGTTTATCTCCAAAAGATCTCGGTTCCTTTCGATATTGGCATGTATCGGATCGAAACTTCATGGATTATGGCCCCTGTTTGTACGAAAAATCACGTTTTTAGCTTGTGGACACCATAGTTGATAATCCAAAGATCTCGGTTCCTTTCGATATTCGCGCATATCGGACCGTAACTTCCTGAATTATGGCCCCTGATTGTACCAAAAATCGTGTTTTTAGCTTGTGGACCCTATAGAGGTCATAATTTTTATCCGATTTAAAAAAACGTTCAATTATATCACCGTTACACCCTAAGGATGGCTGAGTTCGAATTTCGTAAAAATATGGTATATCAAGGTTGTGGACACTATAGAGGTCACAATTTTTTTCCGATTTTGTTGAAACTTGAAATGTAAGTTTACCCAAAGATCTTGGTTCCTTTCGATATTCGCGCATATCGGAACGTAACTTCCTGAATTATGGCCCCTGATTGTACGAAAAATCGCGTTTTTAGCTTGTGGACCCTATAGAGGTCATAATTTTTATCCGATTTAAAAAAACGTATTATTATTTCACCGTTACACCCTAAGGACGGCTAAGTTCGAATTTCGTGAAAATCAGCCCAAAATTGACAGACAAAATGGCCGCCGTTCGTTCTCAAATAGCGTAAAAATATGGTATATCAAGGTTGTGGACACTATAGAGGTCACAATTTTTATCCGATTTTGTTGAAACTTGAAATGTAAGTTTATAACCCAAAGATCTCGGTTCCTTTCGATATTCACGCATATTGAATTGTAATTTCCTGAATTATGGACCTTGATTGTAGGAAAAATCACTTTCTTGTTAGCTTGTTCTCTATCCATCTCTCGAAAATGTGGGCGTATCCTGCCTGGCAGCCGCTGGTTAAAAATTCTAATGAATATCGTCATTAATATAATTCAATGCTAGTATTTTCAATATATTATAATTTCAAGCTGACCAATTTTTTACATATTTATTCTGATATATGTCAATAAAAAATGGTTATTGAGAGCAATACTTATATTAAACATTAGTGTAGTAAAATGGATATTTGAAAAAAATAGTACAATAAAGTATTCTTGATAAGCATGTCTTAATGAATATTTATTTTATTTTAGATGAATGCTTTATCTGAGATAATACCAGCTATTTTATCAGCAGAAATAGTTGTTTTTGCATCCAATGATTGGAGATTACAGGAATCTTTAATGAAAAGTTTATCCTGTCTTCCTGCATGCTGTAACAGTGAAGATATATATTGTAAAGTCATTCCAGTTTTATTCCAGAAACTTAAAACCTCAGTAAGTAAAATCATAATGTTTACAATATCCTGAGTTTAGTGTTGACTTCAAATGACAACATATGTTCATTAGTGTTAATTTTATGACACACTAGCAGAATGCCCGGGTTCGCTCGGGGGTCATAACCCCGAAACTGGAAGTGGTAGACTAACGCCACCTGGCCTATGTTGCTCCCCAGTCCGAGCTACCCCTATACCCCAAATTTCAGACTCGGGGGAGACCTAGTGTAGCCGCCAACCCCGAACAGACAGACAGACAAACGACAGTCACAAATATTAGTATAGATTTATTGGAAATATGTGACCACGTATATCAAAGTGAGTCGGAATACGCAAAATCTAATTTTGGACTATAGACAAAATAAGTGAAAATATTGATTTCGATCGAAATTGAGATTTTCACAAAAATGAGTCTATAAATATACTATCTATCGACACAAAAGATTAAAATAGCAATAAAAGATTTTAGAACACCTTTATTTGAATGTTTTGTAAGACTATGAGTACCGTATTCTTAAATCTGTCCTATTTCTTAAAATTCCTCTTGCATAAGAATTGGCATCGTTGTAAAGCGCAGAATCTCTAGTTTACAAATATGATCAAATTAATGTCAATGAATTGATTTTGAACGGGTACAATCGAGTTTTAAAACCCACTAAAAAATATAAACCATCTCCATTTGTTGCTATGCTGTCTACACAACTCGTTTGCTGATTGGCCCAGACACCGACTGAAAAGCATTATGGTTACGTGGTTGACTCGAGCGGGCGATAAATATTTGGTTTTGGCGATAATATTTTTTGGGTACCTACATGCGATTCACTCTGATAAGTGGCAGAAAATTTTTAATTTTGATCGTATATAGATTGCCGTTGAGTGTTAATCCAAACCATGTGGCTGATTATGTAAATTAATCGACATGCGGGTGGGTGTCATTGAGTAATACTAATCAACTTTCATGGGTCAATGATAAAGCCGTCGACAACTCCTTATTTACTCCGAATAATTAATCCAAGCGGTGATTATTTGATATCTCATATCATCTTTAAAAAAATAATTTATAGGCCTTAAATGGAAATAAACAAAATGGCCAATAATTTTCTTGTCGAAGAGAATTTTATTGATAGATGAATTCCCTTACTGTCGCTTCTTCATACGGCATGCAAAATAAATAAGGAATGCATCTTGGATATTATTGTTTAAAACGGCCAACGAGCTGAATTGCAACGATTCTCGAGTCTGCAATTGTTTAATTACATCAAAGCCAGAATGCACGAACAAAAGTGAACGTAAGTATTTCTTGACTATAGGGACTCATATTTTGATACCGTTACGGTACCTGAAAATAATAATAGACCTATCATACACGCAAAATCTTATTTTAATTCATGTGTTAAATGAACATGCGTACAGCGGTGGCAGCTTCTTTGATGATTATCCAATCAACAATCTTAATCTCCTGACCAATAGCTGACACTAGGGTGCTAATTAATTGATGAGATTAAATGTTAATCTCACCAAAGTTATAATGTACAAAACAGACTACTAATGTATAGATTATACTTTAGTATAACACTATCATGTGAATATGCCGCATGTGTTATGGATGTTTCGTCACGAAAGGAGTGTATTTACTACGATTTTCTTCGTCGGCACCCTTGAAATCCTATATAAAAAAAATATTAAATGACAAAATAGCAAATAAATGGTGGAAATCGTCGGATCAAATTTTTACTGCGATTTTCGTCTTCAGCACCCCTGAAAACCCATGGAGAGATATATTCAATGACAAAACAGCAAATAAATGGCCTGGTTGCTATGGGATTTTGTTTTGGAACATACCAAATCTTTGACTTGCTTTTTCTCAAAACTTACTTAATTGTGAGTTGGGTAGCTTCTAATGGACACAGCTCAGTCAATTTTTGCCCAATTCAAACAAACTATACAACAAATTGAAGGTAGTGAGTTGGAGAATGTGAAAATAACAAAAACTCGATTTTCAAAATTTCCTCAGTATGCTATGGGGGGTCACATAATTCATGGTATAAAAATGTATGTCAGTCAGTATGAAAAACATTTTCTATCAGATTTTGTGGCAAACAAATTTTACTCAAAGAATGTAGAATGACTAAAGGGAACTGATGTTAGCTCATAGTCATAATTTGGTTGTGCTGAGGCATTCAAGCTCTTGAATTCTTGAATGTATAAACTTTGCATGCACCAATATATATTCTCGATTTCATATTTATAAACTGAAACGAAACATAGCTGTTTTTGGCTTCAGTACATAATAGTTTCATTATTGCAGCTATTTTGCAAATAAATTTATTCAGATGTTTATGTTGTGTAGAGACTACAGTTTATAACAGTTATTTTTTTGTGTTCCAGAGTTATCTATCCCCTTTTTTTTAGAAAACCCTATCTATATTCAGGTTGTGAGATATAGTGTAAATATTGGGGTCATAGAGGCCCCTTGTGGAAACAATAGAGGCTATAGTTTTTATACGCCCACATAGACGTATTATGTTGTCACCCGGCGCCCTATCCATTGTTTAATATTTCATTTAATAAAGAACAATCTGATATTGAAACTGATAACATTGGTAATAATTGAATATTTGGTTGAGTTATATGTTGATATTTTATATTATAGAGAGCAATACCTGTTCGTCATGCTGCAGCTCAGACTACTCTAGTGTTAATAAGACAACTTCGTAAACTAGAACAACGAGAACAATTAATTCACAGATTAGTCTCAGGTATGTTAGAGAATTTCCTTTATTACAGGTTCTAATACATGTTGTGCTTAAGGTAGGGTATGCTTGCTCTTTTTATATGCCCACATTTTCACGTGAACGTATATTGTTGTCGCCCCTGTCCGTCCGTCCGTCTGTCCACAATTTGTTTGTGGACATTCTACAGGTCACAATTTTTATGATTTTGATGAAACTTGAAATATAGGTCTATCTCCCAAAAATCTCGGTTCCTTTCGATATTGGCATGTATCAGCCCATAACTTTATGGATTATGGACCCTGATTGTACAGAAAATCACGTTTTTAGGTTGTGGACACACTTGAGGTCATAATTTTCATCTGATTTTGATGAAACTTGAAATACATGTTTATAAACCAAAGATCTTGGTTCCTTTGAATATTTGCGCATATCGGATAGTAACTTCCTGAATTATGGCCCCTGATTGTACGAAAAATCATGTTTTTGGCTTGTGGTCCCTCTAGAGGTCACAATTATTATCCGATATAAACAAACGTTTAAATATATCACAGTAACACTGTAATGACGCTTGACTTCGAATTTCGTGGAAATTGGACCAAAAATGGTATATTAAGGTTGTTGTCTCCCTACAGGTCACAATTTTTATCCGATTTATGAATGATGGCCGAAATGGCCACCCCTCGTACGCAAATAGTGTATATATGGTATATCAAAGTTGTGGGCCCACTAGAGGCCACTATTTTGATCGGATTTTTATGAAACTTGAAATACATGTTTATAACCCAAAGATCTTGGTATCTTTTGATATTCATGCATATCAGATCGTAACTTTCTGAATTATGGTCCTTGTTTGTACGAAAAATCACATTTTTAGCTTGTGATTCCTCTAGAGGTCACAAATTTTATCCGATTTAAAAAAACATTTGAATATATCACCGTTACACCCTAATGATGGCTGAGTTCGAATTTTGTGAAAATTGGACCAAAATTGCCAGACAAAATGGCCACCCCTCGTACGCAAATAGTGTAAACATGGTATATCAAGATTGTGGACCCTAATCCAATAAACAAGCTTAATTTGGGGCTTGTTTTAACAAATATGACAAGACTTACCATTAAAATCATCATTCGAGAACAATTAAACTATTGCTAAGTTGGATATTTGTGTGATTTAACCATTTGAATGGGACTTTCTAATAATGATATGTTTTAAAGTTGATCGCCCAAGTAGCGTTACAGGGGTAGATTTTTTCATCAAAAAAAGTTATGTTTCTTGGTCACATCAAAGTTTCAAATTTTGCTCTGGAAAACGAATTCTTAGTTTCCGCAGTCGGGATTCTTCGTTTTTTACGTGCGTACAATTAACGATTGAATTTAACATTTGTACGCATGCGCAACCCTTAGTTAGAGAGAGGGTGTCTGTATTTATAAGTTACCTGGAGCTGATTTTTTGTAACGTTTACATGCAATAGACTGTAGTTAAAACTTTCTAATAAGGGGAATTTTGTGGTTTACAAACGCAATGTAGAGAGTGCTTGCCGTACTGATATTGTAGATGTTAAATAACATTTATGATAAACCTATTTTGTTTCAAATAATATCACAAATATAAAAATCATACACATCAAAAACAGAGCACACAAAGTATTTTCAAATCGGCAGCACTGGTCCAAATGTCTTGTCTATCATTGCATCCAAAATTCTGTATAAGAATCTACTTAGATATCAAAAATGCGATTCCTACACATTGCGCTCTATTTTGTGTTATAAATTATAGAATAAACCGTAAATCAATTGAACCCATTTCAAGGTGGAACTGTATGCTTTTTGATATGGTTGGGCTATTTGTTGAGGCACCAGATAATCTAAAAATAGAAGTCGATATGTGACAATACATTTCGAATGCATTTATAAATTTTATATGACAGGAAAATTCTGTTATTAAAACATCCAGCATGAAAATGACTACATAATAAATTGGAAGTTCTACAATAAGGATCTTTTAGTGAAATGTTAGATTAATTTAAGTTTTAAGTTAAGTTTAAATACATCCTTTGTGTTTGAATTACCACTAAATGGTTGTGTTGTATTATGTAGCTATTGTTCTTGAAAGTAAGACACACAATTTACGCATCGTGTCGCGTTTTCATATTTTTAATAATTATGAAACAGTCAATGCACGTCTTTTTAGTTATATTTCTGTTCTAGAAAAATGAGTTGTTGCTGAATTTATAATAACTGAAACGTTTTGTAACCACCATGTTAGAAATTGCAAATGCAGGTTTTACGCATGAAAGCATAAGCATACTAAACATGAATAATGGCATAGCCATAATGGCACATCCTCCTATTAAATTGGACACAAAACTGGAGGCCAAATTCGCAGTGCCTTAAAATGATTAGAATTCAAGTCTTGTGACCAGTACCGTAATTTTATTTTATTCATACACGTCTGGTTAACTGAGACTAGGGAAAATACATTTCGTTCGATTAATTTCCAGTCTCAAATTTTTTCTGCGTATTTAGAGCTAGCAACAATGTAACTTCTAAACTAACTAAAGCGACAACTAAGAACAGAGTTCTACGGTTAAATAAAAGTGACTTTCACAGTCTTGCAGTGTCGGTATGTTGCCGCGAGAGTGGATTTAAAAGACCGAAAAAGGGTGAAACTACATGAGTTGACTCTGAACCGTGAACCATTACAATATATATGTCATTATTCTTATAAGACATATAGAGGTAGATTTCACAAATTAAAAACACTTATATGGATATACTACTTCTGAATTTATTAACATGCTACGTTTCGATACACATACAGATATCATTATCAAGCAAATAATGATTTATAACATTCGTTCGTTCGTTCGTTCGTTCGTTTCTGGAGTTTTACGTCCACTTCCACCTAAGGTGATATCGTAGCCATTTTTTTAAAATTTTTTTATAACAAAAATGTGGTGCAATATATAGTTAACAATTGGAAACCATGTAACAGATTAATCATTAAGAATTAACAAGATGAGAGAAGTAATAATATGGATAAACAATTACAAAGGATTAACAAATTGAAAGATTGTAATGTATTGATAACAATTAGAAATTATTTGAATTTAGCAGATCAAACTAATAATTATAAGATATTAACGAGATGAGAGATAGTAATATATAGATAACAATTAAACACTAATTAGCAGGTGAAACCATAACTACAAGATGAAAAGGGTTAACCGCACAGGCAAGAAATAGAAAACTAGGCGAAGGAAAACATACAAAAAACACACATTAATCGGGATTAAATAAATCCACCCAAAGATTTGGGAGAAAATGTCCCAAGTCCCTATTTAATTTTGACTTATATTTTTGAATTTTTAGCGCTTCTCGTAGAATTCTATTTTTCCATGTTGATAAGTTTCTGGCTAGTATTTCTGTATTCTCCCATTTGATTTTATGCTTTGGGTTTTGGTAGATGTGTTCTGCTATTGCTGATTTATTATTTTCTTGTTTTATAACTTCCGTGTGATGTTCTTTTGTTCTCACTGAAATCGGACGGGATGTTTCTCCAATGTACGCTGCATCACACTCACAATTTATCTTGTATACAACACCCTTTGGATCATCTCTTGGTTTTTGTATCCTACCATCAGCTTTTAAGATAGTTTTGAGTGTGGTTCCGCTGCTGAATACTACCTCTGCTTTCACATTTTTTCAAACAATGTTGTTTTGACCCATGAGGTGCAGGACAGGGACAACTTGAGAGGGCATATTTGTACATTTTGTTCATATCATAATATCCACATTTTATGGTGTTTGAAGTATGGCAATTTTGGTATATATGGAAAGTAGAGATATCCAATCTTACTAGAAAAATACTGGATTCCCCGAAAAACACTCATGGAGCGTATACAGGACGAAAATGTAAGGGCTCTTCTAATCGACAGCCCGACGATTAGGAATTTCTGCACACGTGATGTCAAAGGTCACACGCAAACATTGAGCGCTTGATGTACAAGTTGATAAACTTTATGAAGAGTTAGACCTACAACACTTTCTGAGATAAAAATGACGGAAAAAGACGTGGGTAGTGGATAATCCGAGAATTTAATTAAGATTCGATATTTGTAATAAATAGTAAGCAATTAAAGACAACATTGTCTTATGTATGCAATGAATTATCCTCTGACTTCCAAGAGAGGTAAGTCACGTGACGTAAATATGGCCTGATTTGATCGAATGTTTATAGCAGGGCATTCCTTCGCAATTACAATGTTTGAGAAGGATTTCAAGCAAAATTATGACAAATTAATTAGTTTGAATATGGTTTTAGTCCATATATACCATTAAATCACCCAGTTTGTACACAGGAATGTATCTTTAAACATCCACTTATCAGGGAAAAAATTCTGCATGCCTATATTAACTATTTAGTCTGGTTGGTCCTGATAGTAGTATTTTAAACTCCATTTTACCCCCCTTATCTTCAAATATTGTAATAAATATAAAAAACATTCTTTTTGTTTGTTTCAGATTTCTGTCATGGTAAAAGTTGTCATCATAGAAGTTTATTTATTGATATGTGTTATTTTTTTATTGAACTCTTTTCCAAGTCATTTTTTAAGGACCATTTATTTGACTATGTATTAGAACTAACCTCTGACCCTGTTGCCAATGTGCGATTACGAATGTGTTTTATGTTACCCAGTTTAAAACGACAAGTTAAACTGCCTTATGACAGAAATCATCTGCAATTATTAGAAGCAGCAGTACGGAAAATACTCATTAATGAAAAAGATAGAGATGTTAATGTTGCCATCAAATCGGTAAGTAAAGTGATGCTTGGTCATTATGTGTGGGACAAAAAACTGAGGTCCACCGATGTACAAATAGGCATTTATTTCTAAGAACCCACAACGGTTGAAATTTGATGAAGTGTAGATGGTAATATCAAAGTCTCAGCAAAGTTTAACCCATTGTACCCCATAGCAAATCAATTCGCACCCTCTCATTAGTCGATAGTGAATAAAAGCGCCGACTAATCATTCTTGGCATCAGCATTAGCGAACAAAAGCGTGAGATCAATCAACTGTTTTATATTGTATTTATTTCTAAAATTGATGCTCATTGCACTGGAGATATCGTTTGATAATTGATAAAAATCGTTTAAGAATTACAAAAATGGTTTAGTTAGTACTATGACTTAGTTTCTCCGAGAGGCGTTTATAAATCGACGACCTGTTCACTTATCTACGGCGTTTCCTTATTTGACGACCGGTTCACTTTCCCGAGATACGTTGAAAAATCAACACGCAGTTTACGTATCTATGGCGCTTTCTTATTAGACAAACCGTTTTCTTTCCCGAGATATCTTGAAAAATCAACACACTGTTAATTTATCTACGGCGTTGAACTATTAGATGAACCTTTTAATTTCCTGTGAGCCGTTTATCCGATCGGTTCATTTTGATTACGATTATTTACATATGTACACGTGGTCATAAGTCAAGCTCACAATGGCAGTGCGATAATCTCGTGAGACTGTACATTAGACGCGGTGCCAAAAAAGTCACTGTCAATCTCTATAGACAAGCTTTCGCCCATTTTCAGACAGTGTAATTACTTGATTGGGGGCTTCTGCGCAATTTAGTTGATTATTGGGTACAGGTGTTAAATTTTGGACTGATTCAAAATCCACATTCCCGAAAAAGAAAAGGGTTTATAAATAAAACAGAACATATGATAATCTAATAACAAAAACCAATGGTATGTATTTATATGTATGTACACTAAACACTAAATACTAAAAACAATCACAAATAACAGCATGAATACTAAAAATACAACACTGGAAAACAATCACTGGTTTATAAATAAAGAAATAGCAGCATGCACAAAAAGAAATCAAAATTGGAAAACAATCAACAGATTTATATATAATTTAATAACAAAAAGCAAATTGTATGTATTGATAATGTAAATGAACCATTTAAATCCTATACCACAGTCTGTTATAATTGTTAATAAAAATCTGTGTCTTTAAAGATCGTCCGCTCAATCAAAATTCAGAGCCAAGCCAAATAAGCCAAAGTTATTTTAGTATTCAAAATAAACACAACTTTTATGTTGTGAAAGTCGTCTTTTAACTACGATTATCACATTGTGTGTAGCTTTATTTAACGTCCGCTTCCACAATTATCTAATTATTCACTAATCTCCTCTTAATCTATATTCCCATACACATTAATTACAGAAAAGGCCTGTGTATACATGATATTATGAGCTATTTACCTTTTGGTCAGCCGTTTGTTACAGTATAGATTAAATATACATTATGCAAGAGCTAATTCTGTCTATTGCAGGTCTGTCTTTAGGCCTGAAATGTTATCTAAATTATTAATTAGACATTAATTAACCTATCCAGAACATAATCAACTCTAGATGGCATCGCTAGCCTGTGATCTTTAGTGGATTATGAGCCGATTTACTGTATAACTTTCCTTCACGATTTAATGATTAAATGGTTAATCGAGCCTATACTTTTATCGTACTGACTTTAGTAATGATGATCGAGGCTAGGCGGAAATTTCAATCACTTATGTCTCGGTTCATAGTGGATCAATTTTAATGAAATTTTTAGCAAATTGCCTTTACATTATCTAGTTTTTAACTATTATAGTGAGAACTGCCAACTCGTTATCGAATCTCCCATAATGTATCTTTAATTATTTGATTGGTTGAATGCCATTGTTTTATTAATTCTCGCCTGTGGTCACCTGTCTGGGTGCCATAAAAAATCATGCCTTTGAATGAACAGTTGAGTCATAAATGTCTCTTTTTATTAACATTAATTATTTGCTTGGTCGAATGCTATTGTTTTATTAATTCCCACCTGTAGTTACCTGCCGGGTGCAGGTCAGTTCATCCCACCTCGGACTGTTTCATCCCAACCTATTTTTTATCGGGCTGTTTCATCCCCCTTGTTATTATAATTAACTGAGTTGTACTTATCGTTAAATAAACTGTTAAACAACTTACTTTTTGTTGATTACTGATCACGACCGGGATTAGTTCACCGCTGTATATTCGTATTGTTTGTTAATTGGCATTATGATTTTAGGTCAGTTCACCGATGTTTTTGTAGTAAAATATATTATTCGTATTGTTTTTATACGCCCAGGTTTATCACCCTAAGATCTCGGTTCCTTTCGATATTGGCATGTATCAGACTGTAACTTCATGGATTATCCTCCCTGATTGTACGAAAAATCACGTTTTTAACTTGTGAACACTGTAGAGGTCACAATTTTTATCCGATTTGGTTTAAACTTGAAATGTATGCTAATCACCAAAAGATCTCCGTTCCTTTCCTAAGGACGGCTGAGTTCGAATTTCGTGAAAATTCGCTCAAAATTGACAGACAAAATTGAAATGTAAGTTTATAACCCAAAGATTGCGGTTCCTTTCGATATGCGCGAATATCGGACCTTAACTTCCTGAATTATGACCCCTGATCGTACGAAAAATCGCGTTTTTAGCTTGTGGACCCTATAGAGGTCTTAATTTTTATCCGATTTAAAAAACCATATTATTATATCACCGTTACACCCCAAGGACGACTGAGTTCGAATTTCGTGAAAATCTGCCCAAAACTGACAGACAAAATGGCCGCCTTCGTTCTCAAAAAGCGTAAAAATATGGTATATCAAGGTTGTGGACCCTATAGAGGTCACAATTTTTATCTGATTTAAAAAAATGTATCATTATATCACCGTTACACCCTAAGGACGGCTAAGCTTGAATTTCGTGAAAATCGGCCCAAAACTGACAGACAAAATGGCCGTCCTTCGTTCTCAAATAGGGTAAAAATGTGGTATATCAAGGTTGTGGACCCTATAGAGGTCACAATTTTAATCCTATTTTGATGAAACTTGAAATATAAGTTTATAACCCAAAGATCTTGGTTCCTTTCTATATTCGCCCATATCGGAACGTAACTTCCTGAATTATGGCCCCTGATTGTACAAAAAATCAGGTTTTTAGCTTGTGAACCCTATAGAGGTCATAATTTTTATCCGATTTAAAAAAACGTATTATTATATCACCGTTACACCCTAAGGACGACGGAGTTCGAAATTTCGTGAAAATCTGACAGACAAAATGGCCGCCTCTCGTTCTCAAATAGCATAAAAATATGGTATATCAAATTAAGGTTGTGGACCCAATAGAGGTCACAATTGTTATCCGATTTTGTTGAAACTTGAAATGTAAGTTTATAACCCAGATATCTCGGTTCCTTTCGATATTTGCGCATATCGAATTGTAATTTCCTGAATTATGGCCCTTGATTGTAGGAAAAATCACTTTCTTTTTAGCTTGTTCTCTATCCATCTCTCGAAAATGTGGGCGTATACTGCCTTGCAGCCGCTGGTTATAATTGCCGTTATGATTTTAGATTAGTTCACCGATGTTTTTGTAATAAAGTATACTCCTATTGTTTGTTAGTTTATGATGTCTAACATCATTTATCGTCTTTATAAAATAGGTATTTTATAATTACATATTGACAGCTTAATCACTCGCCAAAATACATCATGGACTCTACGTATTACCCAATAATCAACTAAATTGTGCAGGGGCCCCCAATCAAGTGATTACGCTGTCTGCAAATGGGTGACAGATTGTCTATAGAGATTGACAGTCACTTTTTTTGGCGTCAGTCTAATATACAATCCTCGCGAGATTATTGCACGGCCGATTTTTGATGTATTTGTCATTGGTGGAATACTAATTTTATAGGATAATGGTTAATAAATAATACTCGACCATGGTATGGTGATCATCTATGGGTGTGCATTTTGTTATATTCACCTTTTTTATTCGTACTTCATATGTAAATAATCGTAATCAAAATGAACCGATTGGATAAATGGCTCGCAGGAAAGTAAAAGATTCATCTAATAGTTCAACGCCATAGATAAATTAACCGTGTGTTGATTTTTATACGCCCACAATTTCATGTGGACGTATATTGTTGTCGCCCCTGTCCTTCCGGACGTCCGTCCATCCACAATTTGTTTGTGCACTCTCTACAGGTCACAATTCTTGTCCGATTTTGACAAAACTTGAAATATAGGTTTATCCCCAAAAGATCTTGGCTGCTTTCGATATTGGCATGTATCGGATCGAAACTTCATGGATTATGGCCCCTGTTTGTATGAAAAATCACGTTTTTAGCTTGTGGACCCTATAGAGGTCACAATTTTTATCCAATTTTGTTGAAACTTGAAATGTAAGTTTATAACCCAAAGATCTCGGTTCCTTTCGATATTTGTGCATATCGAATTGTAATTTCCTGAATTATGGCCAAAGTTTTAATATCCGATTGACTTCAGATTGATACACAGAGTTTAAGGTCTTGAGACAAACAAGTATATTGATTTTCAATGGATTTTTATGTCTTGAATAGCTAAATCCATGATATTAAAAGTTTTGTATACAAAACGTTAGCATGGAGCAGAACTTTATACAAACAAACAAATTCTAATGGTTTTCTGATAATTATTTCATGAGTTGTTGCTCTTAATCAGATTTTAGTGTATTATAAATGTTTCATTACCGAAAAAAGTAAAAATATGCAACAACTCTTGTTGACTGCCCGGACGATTTAGCTGTTGTGGGCGTATGTTTTGTTGCCTGGCAACCTATCTTTATCCGATTTTGTTGAAACTTGAAATGTAAGTTTATAACCACAAGATCTCGGTTCCTTTCGATATTCGGGCATATCGGAATGTAACTTCCTGAATTATGGCCCCAGATTGTACAAAAAATCGCGTTTTTAACTTGTGAACCCTATAGAGGTCATAATTTTTATCCAATTTATTATATCACCGTTACACCCTAAGGACGACTGAGTTCGAATTTCGTGAAAATCGGCCCAAAACTGACAGACAAAATGGCCGCCCATTGTTCTCAAATAGCGTAAAAATATGGTATATCAAGGTTGTGGACCCTATAGAGGTCACAATTTTTATCCAATTTTGTTGAAATTTGAATTATAAGTTTATGACCCAAAGATCTCGGATCCTTTCGTTATTTGCGCATATCGAATTGTAATTTCCTGAATTATGACCCTTGATTGTAGGAAAAATCACTTTCTTTTTAGCTTGTTCTCTATCCATCTCTCGAAAATGTGGGCGTATCCTGCCTGGCAGCCGCTGGTTGATTACTACAGTTAAATTTAAGATCTATTGAGTACTGTATATGTCTACCGTCTGACTAAAATATAAGGAACCAAAGCAAGCTGGGTATCCAGTCAAACTGCGACGATATATATTGTGAATATTTCTATCTATATTTTATAGGCAGTAGAAGAATTAGATGGTATTCACGTACAGATGGAATCGATTGTAAGTTTTTTTGGTTATACTTTTATGAGTTTTGTTGGTAATATAAATTAGTATACATATCTTATTCAGTAATACTTGAAGTTCAGATTAGTACAACTTCTGTCATTGTGAAATTTTGTCCGTGCAATAGATGCTACAGTTTTTATTCAATTCTTCTGAAACTTTCAGCAAACTTGTTTTATTACAAGATGAGAATCCCTATTTCTTTTCGACAAAAACAGAGTAATACTCGTTGAGCACTCCCCAAATTTCATAATCCATTTTGAAACAAACTGGCCAGAATTGGGTCAAAAAAGGTCCATTCCCTTTAATATAACCAGACTTCCAACAAAAATAATTCTTGGTAATTTGTTATAGAGAATGTCGTATTCGATTTAAAACATTATTATTATTGTTATACGCCCACATTTTCATGTGGACGTACTAATGGGGAATTAAAAAGTCTTAAAAAGTGATGCTGAGAAAATTGGTTATTTCTCGACAAGAGAAGATGTTAGAAGCATTTTTTTGATATCGCTATGATCATATTGATCAAATCTATATGTCCATTGGAATCAAATATCATATTGTTAAACAAATAATAAATGTAACCCACTTCAAAAAAATATTTGTTTTGAAGGCTAAAAATACAGTTTTTGCCAAAATTACATTACTTCCGGTGATAATGAAAATGTTAAATTAATTCTATGAAATCATAAATGGCATAAGGTATCACATGGTGAAAATTTTATGAAAATCGGATAATAATTAACACTTTTATGGACCAAAAACCATGAAAAGTGACTTGAAGAAAATCGTCTATTTCTCTGCAACCGTACAAGTTAGAAACCGTTTTGTGGTATCTGTATGATCGGATGGGTTTATTCTATTTGTTGATTTGAATCAAACATCATAATTTTATAAAACATTACAAATAAGAATCATTTCAGTAAAATCTCTTTTTAAAGCTGAAAATACAGTTTTTGCCCAAATGATGTCATTTCTGGTGACAGTGAAAATGTTAAATTGGTTTGACCTAGTCAAAATTGGCATAAGGCATCAAATGGTCAAAAAGAACCGTGAAAATCAAATAATAATTGACTCCTTTACAGGCAAAATAACGTGAAATGTGACGCATGCAAAATTGCCTATTTCTCAGCAACTGTTCATATTACAAACTAATTTTCACATACATTCTCTTCGTATGGATGGATTATTGCTACGAGTTTATGAAAGTTACGAAGAAATATTTTAAAATATGAAGACGCTGAATGGGTTGTAAATAGCTTAATTTTACACCGTTTTTCACCTTTTAATCGAAATAGCCCGAAAACGAAATCGAAATTATAAAAAACTGAGTCTGATGTTTTGTGCACCTTTGCATGGCGCATACTTTTGGTAATATCAAATTTTGAAAAAATAATATTTGCTTTCAAAAAGTGGTTTCGATCCCTGCATTGGCCAAGAACGTTCATCCAGATTTTCCGGCGTGGTTCCCCCTTGTCAGTGATGCAGGACGGAGGGCCTGACAAGGACAGCTGTCTAGTCCTTCTGATGAGAGGAAAAACCGAGGTCCCGTGTATACATTGGAATGCACGTAAAAGATCCCTTGGCAGTTGGAATCCGATATAAGAGTAGGCGATAGTGCCGCTGCTCGGGCAAAATTTCCCTCATAGCACACTGTATGGTGTATGCCCGTCTTCATTAGCCCAGCATAGGAGCAGAACAGTAGGACGTTAAACCCCATTTCATTTCATTTCAAAAAGTGGTACTGAACTGTGAAAATTATAATTTTTGTTAAAATTATGTCACTTCCGGTGCCGACAGATAAATCTAGCGGTAACAAATAAAATGACATTTTGGGAAAGGTGCATATGAACTTTGTTTTGAACAAATCGAAAAATAAATAATCAATCTAGGAGTGAAAAACTGAATTAGCCAATGGCGGCCAAGCAAAATTATCTAGCCAAAAATTGTTGACATTTTTGCTCAAATCAGACGACCCTTTAATCCTTTGTAAAATACTATCAAAAAATATTCATAAATAAAATTTTTTGTAAAAATTTAAATTTTCAAAATTTGGCGCCAAATATTTTCGAAGATTCGTCAAAAATCAAAAATCGAAAGTAGCATAGCTATGTCCCCTGTCCGATGATTATTGTTAATATTACGGCAATATTGAAAAAAAAACCCAGCTTCGCTGATTTCAGACATTTTGCATTGTCGCAGAACTTTAGAAATGGCTTTAAAATTTATGTTAAACCCACTTTTCCAGTAAATCCGATATCATTGAATCGATCCGAAAAGTAGTTTCTGAGATAAGCTCAAATGGAAAAATAATGATAAGAACTAAGAAGATGACGGGTTTCACCAGTGCCACGTTACTCTTGAACTTATGTCACTTCCGGTGCAACGTTACCCTTGAACTTATGTCACATCCGGTACCAATGAAATCGTTAAATAGATTTCAACATAAGGCAACACAAATAAAATAAGTTGTTTCTCGGACACCGCACGCACGCAAAATTGGTTGCGTGTGCGGCCTATTTATTAGTCTTGATGAAAAATAAAAAATATGTAACGCCCGCCCGAACGTCGATAAGCAAGTCATAAAAAGAATATGCCGCATGTATCTACATGCCCCATACGTGAATATCCATTCAAATGTATTAAATTGATTCAGATGTAAACGCTCATTTACGGGTCTTTTTTATTGATATCGAAAGAACCTCCATTTTTGTATCACGTGATTTTAATTACCTCCCCTTGTGAACTAGAATTTGATTCGTGTTAAACACCGAAAGTCATTGACAACAATGCAATGTATTTCAATCATTCGATCTTAATCGGCTCATTATTGCCGGCTTCAGTCGGTCCATGTTTGAAAAAATCCTACTTATAAAACAATGAATCGTAGAACAGGTTAATTATTATAACTTGTGGCTACGAATACGATACGATGATAGTCACCATCCCTTAGTCAGAAACTGGGTCATTAGCACATTTAACGGTAGTTTTGATAATCCGGAAAATAATAATTGGATTACACATTTGATGGTTTTACTGACGAGTTGTTAGTTAAATTTAAATAGTCATTCGATATAAACCCCAGATAGAACACCGAATATCCTGAGAAACACACCAAATATCCCGAGAAACAGTCATTTCCCGAATCCCGATGACACATGACATGCATTGGTTGGAATTAGGTCAATCATTATAAACCAGCGATACTAGATTTAGATCTAAGTGTCGTTTACCGTGATGATTATTTTTGATACACATGCTGACAGAGGCTTACTCTTTAAAATATTGTCATTATTATGGACGGCTATTAATAGTCGTACAGAATTTTATTTTAAACCAATTTCAATTATGGTTGTCACCATTACCATTAGTAAGCTACATTACATGAATTAAATATGGAAAATTATTTTCCTTTCAGTCAGTGTTCAGTGTTTGAGTAGACTTGATTTTTGGGTTTATGTTCTAAGTATGTATAATATATAACTGAAAGCAAAACTGTAGACAAATGAGGTAAAAAAAAAAAAAAAAAAACGCCCTCCCCCCCTACAGTTTCAGCTGTCAGTTGCCCGAGAAACAAGACATTTATTTTGTGTAGCCTAAGCATTGCACACGTGTTATAAAATAGACGCAGAATCAATTCCATTTATACATTTATTACAATGTGTTACATGTGTCAAAAACGTGATCCTGTCAAAATTTGTTACTAACTTATTGCTAAGTTAGCTGACTTTCTAATGGGAAATTAAAATTTTTGGACATCTATATGATCCTATTGATCCAATCTATATGTCCATTGGAATCAAATATCATAATGTAAACAGAATAATAAGTATAACTCACTTCAAAAACATATTTATTTTGAAGGCTAAAAAAAAAAGACAGTTTCTGCCAAAATGACATTACTTCTGGTGATAATGAAAATATTAAATTAGTTCTATGAAATCATAAATGGCATAAGGCATCACATGGTGAAATTATATAAAAATCGAATAATAATTGACACTTTCATAGACCAAAAACCTTGAAAAGTGTCTTGTATAAAATTGTTTATTTCCCTGCAACCGTACAAGTTAGAAACTATTTTGTGGTATCTGTATGATCGTATGGGTTCATTCTATTTGTTGATTGGAAGCAAGTATCTTAATTATAAATAATTTACAAATACGACACAGTTAAATAAAATATTTGTTTTGAAGGCTAAAAATACAGTTTTTGACCATATGACGCCATTTCTGGTGACAGTGAAAATGTAAAATTGGATCTACCCAGTCAAAAATGACATTAGGCATAATATGGTGAAGAAAAAAAGAAAATCGGATTATTATTAACTTGTGAAAAGTGACTCATGCATAATTGCCTATTTCTCTGCAACAGCCAATATTACAAACTAATTTTGACATACATTGTCATCGTATGGATTAATGCTACAGGTTAATGAAAGTTGTCAAGAAATATATTAAAATATGAAAGCCTGAATGCGTTGTAAATAGCTCATTTTTACACCCTTTTTCACCTTTAAATCAAATTGGCGCAATTGCAAAACCGAAATAAAAAAAAAACTAAGCAAGACATATTTTGCGTCTTTATAAGTAGGAGCATGCAGCTTGATCTATTAGATTTGTAAACATTAATACTTGCTTTTTAAAAGAACTTTAGACATGTCAAAATTGAAGTTCTGGGCAAAATTACGGCACTTCCGATGTCAACAGAAACTTTTATTGGTAGAAGAAAGTTGAGAATTTGCACCACGGAGCATATGGGCTTTTTTTTATACAAATCAGACAAAATTGGTTATTTCTCGGCAAGGGAAGATGTTAGAAACAATTTTGTGATATCAATATTGTCGTATTGCTTTATACTATTTGCCAATAGGAATCAAATATCACAATTTTATACGAATAATGGATATCGCTTACATCAAACAAGTATTTGTTTTAGAGGCTAAAAATACAGTTATTGCCAATATCACATTAGTTCCTGTGATAATGAAACGGCAATACTATATACCGGAAAACATCGAAAAACACTAAATACCGGAAAACACCCTAAATAGGTTACCCAGAGCCTGGTCCTCTGTTTGCGGGGAGTTAGGGTTAGGTTTTTCCGGTGTTTTCCAGAGGACCAGCGGTGGGTTAGGGTTAAGGTTAGGTTTTTCCGGTGTTTTCCAGAGGACCAGGCTCCGAGTTACCTATTTAGGGTGTTTTCCGATATTTAGTGTTTTTCCGGTATTTAGTGTTTTTCTGTGTTTTCCAGTATTCAGTATAACATGGTGTTTTCTGGTGGATTTCCGGTGTTTTTCAGTGTTTTCCGGTATATAGTATAGCCCTAATAAAAATGTTAAATAACTTGTATGAAATCATAAATGGCATTAGGTATCACACAGTGAAAATTTTATGAAAATCGAATAATAATTAACATTTTTATGGACCAAAAACCTTGAAAAGTGACCTGTTGAAAATAGCCTATTTCACCACAACTAAACAAGTTAGAAACCATTTTGTGATATCTATATGATTGTATGGGTTCATTCTATTAGTTGATTGGAATCAGATATTAAAATTTTGAGATAGATTCTCTTTGTATGGATTAATGGTATTTAGTGTTTTTTCGGTGTTTTCCAGTATTCAGTATAACATGGTGTTTTCCGGTGTTTTCCAGTATATAGTATAGCCCTAATGAAAATGTTAAATTACTTGTATGAAATCATAAATGGCATTAGGTATCACACAGTGAAAATTTCATGAAAATCGAATTAACATTTTTATGGACCAAAAACCTTGAAAAGTGACCTGTTGAAAATAGCCTATTTCTCCGCAACTAAACAAATTAGAAACCATTTTGTGATATCTATATGATTGTATGGGTTCATTCTATTAGTTGATTGGGCAATCAAATATTTTTGATATCGTGATTCAACTCCATGACTGATAAAGGTTCTACAATGTCTCGAAGACGGGCGTAGTACTAGTAAATTTATCGTAGGTGCCGAATACTAAAAACTACCGATTTTTGTTACATATATATTCAAGGAAATCTTACGAGATGAAACATACATTGTTGTGGAATTTATATGATGTCACGCTTCAGAGATTTGATATTTTCGCAATAAATCCAATGCCGATACGCACTGAGCAATCGTCAGTCGAAGGTGTAATTTGGTTGTATGTATTTCAGCAAATTTTGATAAAAACGTATTCCTGCATATTTACAAAATGGGTTTCCTGTTTAAAATTTCTTACGAGTTTGTAAACTACAGTAAAATAAGTATCCATACCCCAGAAGTTCCATATTATATTATTATTCCGATGTAGTATTTACGGCGTAGTAATCTCTGCCTGTTTTCATGGTAATATGTACATAGATTGCGTAGCCACAAAAGTTTATAAAGGGATTTAATATTTTAAGATTTTCAAGGTCAAGATAAAATGGGCTATTGGTCAAAATTTGTATCGTTTTCGACATTTATTAACTGCGATAATCTAAATAATACTTGATCAATTATAAATGATACAACAAACAAATAAGTTCCCAAAAGAAGATCGTATTTTCAAACCTTTATAGAAAAGGCGGGAAATTGTCACGTGATTAGACCAACATTGTCAAAGACAGGAAGATATATTATTGGGTGATGGGTGCTGATAAAATTTGGGATTTATATTGTAATGAACAATAACTCAAAGTCTTGATCGTACTTTATTTAATCATACAACAAATAGTTAAGTTCTCAATGGGTGGTGTGTATTTTAAATCCGCAGCAAGCGTGACCCAATTATTCATTCCTTAAACATCGTGTTCATGATTCATTTCCGAGATAAAATAGCACCTTACATTTCCCGACCGACATGTATCTACCCCAAGTGTCATGACATTCAAGGCATTTTAATGGGTAACATTTCTATATCTGTGACAAATCAAACCCAATTCCATCCAACAAACGAAAACTAAGCAAAACTGCACTGGCTCAAGTAACGTGGATCACAAAAGATATTATTCAACAGAATAGATCTTGATAGACTTTGTGCCAACCCAAATGTCAGACTGAGCGAAAATTTAAAATGTCAGGCATAATGTTCATCCAGTCTGACACATTTGAAAGTTATTTCCAGGCTTGTGTATATGACTATATTTTTATCAAGACAAAACTGCTGTTTGGCGTATTTCCATTCATTATGTGTCTATCTTTGATAATTGAGCAGCATTGTATTAGTATGCAATATTATTCAGATGTCCAGACGTAAAAATTTTGAAGAAGATACTGAGGATCAGATAAAAGAAGAAGAAGAAAAACAATTAATTATTATGGTAGGTCATTAAATCATCTAACAAGATTACACAGATAAAATGATAGAAATCTTAATTAATGATATAACACTGATACTTTTCTTACTATTGATTCATTATCATATTTTCAGGAAGAACAAGATCGAAAAGAAGAAGAACAAAAAGCCAAACTAGAAAAAAAGGGTTCAAGTAATAGTAAAATACCAGCCCCCAAAAAAGGTAAGCACAGAACTTATCAGCTGATAATCTTAAGTAAAAATATATATGGTCAAACTGTTATAGTCTGATATGTACAGGAGGATAATTTGCTGATATATTGTACCATGTATCCTTACTAATGTTATAACAATGTGTCTTGTTTTATAGCGGCACCAAAGTCTGGAACTAGTAGTAAAGGATAATTTGCTGATATATTGTACCATGTATCCTTACTAATGTTATAACAATGTGTCTTGTTTTATAGCGGCACCAAAGTCTGGAACTAGTAGTAAAGGTGATTATAATCGTGATTTTAAAAAAGCTTCATCTTTACCTACAGCTGGTGGTATATCATCTACTTCAACTAAAGGTCAGTGTATAATTAATTTCACTCCTTCATAACCATTTTATATATAACAAATTTATATAAATATGGTATTTTAGACTGAATAATATAACACTGATATACCAAGAGAAAGGTGGTAAATGTACCCAGGTAGTCAGTCTTATAGTAGGTAATACACAAATTGATGAAAAGCAAAACTACTTGCTTGAATCACTGTATATACTAAGTTTGTAAATATAGTATATCATAGAGATATTTATTATTATACAGATACAGCCAGACCCTCACTTGTAAGACCTCAATCATATTCTCATTCTACTGCTCATAATCAACTAGAAGTTCATCTTAAATACAGTCAGGATCAAAATATGACAGATGATAATCGCCTGGTTAGTAGACCGGGGGATTGTGTCCATCCTCGTACTATGAGAGGTTATAGTTTTTATTTATCGGTGTGACTTAAATGTGATTTGCTATAACTAATTTCAGAACTTGTTGATTGGGCAAATTTAAGTGTTTTTTTTTTTACATCTTCTTTTAAACTGCTTGTTGAATTTCAACCAAATTTGATAAATTTGGGTGGCTCTTGTAAAGATTGTTTCAAATCAGATTTGAATGTTTCAACTTTTCTTTATTACACATTTTTTACAGGTTACAAATTGATAGATATGTTGCCTGAGTTATGCTTTCACATTTTTTCAAACAATGTTGCTTTGACCCATGAGGTGCAGGACAGGGACAACTTGAGAGAGCATATTTGTACATTTTGTTCATATCATAATATCCACATTTTATGGTGTTTGAAGTATGGCAATTTTGGTATATGGAAAGTAGAGATATCCAATCTTACTAGAAAAATACTGGATTCCCCAAAAAACACTCATGGAGCGTATACAGGACAAAAATGTAAGGGCTCTCCTAATCGACAGCCCAACGATTAGGATTTTCTGCGCACGTGATGTCAAAGGTCACACGCGAACATTGAGCGCTTTATGTACAAGTTGATCAACTTTATGAAAAGTTAGACGTACAACACTTTCTGAGATAAAAATGACAGAAAAAGACGCGGGTAGTGGATAATCGGAGAATTTAATTAGGATTCGATATTTGTAATAAATAGTAAGCGATTAAAGACAACATCGTCTTATGTATGCAATGAATTCTCCTCTGACTTCCAAGAGAGGTAAGTCACGTGACGTAAACATGACCTGGTTTGATCGAATGTTTATAGCAGGACATTCCATCGCAATTACAATGTTTGAGAAGGATTTGAAGCAAACTTATGACAAATTAATTAGTTTGAATATGTTTTTAGTCCATATATACCATTAAATCACCCAGTTTGTACGCGGGAATGTATCTTTTTAAAAGTCTTGATTTCTTTTACACAGTACTTTCATAACTTTGGTTCTGTATTCCCAATGGCTGCTAATAAATAATAATGTTAATTGAATTGAAAATATACTAACCTTGTGTGTAATAGTTTATGGATTGTGTGATTGATATAATATTAATATATAGTCAGCTACATTAAATCTAACAATTATTAGGGCCCCTGTCAACGGTGGGCCGTCCTAAAGAGTGATCAGTTTCTCTGTCATTGCGTCAGTCACAAAAGATGTCTCCTCTGTATTGTATCTTAAATGCTGCTTGGTTGGAGTTAATATTGATACTTTTAATTTCACCTGTATCAATACTTATTTATTTTGGGTTGAACTTCCAATGTATCAGTTATAATACAAGCAGTACTTTATGATATTCACCATCTCACTTGTATCTAGTTGCTTTAGGATTAGTTATGAAGCTGCAGTACTCTGGACTCGGGATTAGAAGAGCCTTTGATTACTCAGACCTGTTACTTGTTTATCAGGGTAGTGCCTTCTGGGATTGCTTATTAAATTGTAATTTTCATTTTAGTTTTACACAAACTAAGGTCTGATGTATACAATCTTAAATAGGCACTGTAGGATGTTTTAATGAATTTGCTCATCTATACTAATGTCCAAAAGAAAGTATACACACTTAAAATATGACTAAGTTTTGTTTAAATCAACAAAATGTGATAAAACTACACTGAACATGTCTCGTGCATCCAAACTCAATATTTCTAAGCATATAAACGGCAAAATAAATGGAAATTGTACCCAAATACCGCATACAATGGAAAAACGACTTTGTTTGAAGCAGGATGAAATGCTCAGTGTATACTTTCTTTTGGACATTATATATATTGCACATAGAACCCAGAAAATATAAGCTATACCGTTAGTATTGTGAATATTTATACCACTGACTTATATAAAGAAATTTACTTAAACATATATTATGCAAGAGCTAAATCTGCCTATTTCAGGTCTTTCTTTAGGCCTGAAATGATATCTAAATTAATAATTAGACATTAATTAACCTATCCAGGCCATAATCAACTCTAGATGGCAGCCCTAACCTGCGATCTTTAGTGGATTGTAAGCCGATTCACTGCAAAACTTTCCTTCTCGATTAAACAATTAAATGGATAATCGAGACATGCTGTTTATCGTACTGACTTTAGTAATGATGACCGAGGCTTATGGAAATTTCAGTCGCTTAGTTCTCAGTTCATAGTGAATCAATTTGAATGAAATTTTCACCAAATTGCCTTTACATTATCTAGTTTTTAACTATTATAGTGAGAAATGCCAACTCGTTATCGAATCTCCCATAATGTATCTTTAACATACCACTGTTATCTGTTTAAATGTGGATTAATTTATTTATATTATTAAATACATTTATAAGTTTATATGTACCGTATTTTGATTCATTTATTGTGTTTTGATGATTATTTTAACATCAACATGTTAATATCTAGTGATTTGCTATGGCCTATAATTAGATAAAAGAATTTTAAAAAAAAGGTAAAATTTTTGAAAGAATGTGTTAGTGTCTGTCAATTCAGGTCCAAAGAAATATTTGGTGAAATCAAAATCTGCTACATGCATTCCATCTTTATGTCCAATACCAACTAGACGAGGTAAGATGCTGATTTAAGCATGATGCAATCAGCATGGCGTGTCTTTATTCAAAGCATTTGACCAAAACAATAGCTTTTTTGCAGTTAAATTGTAGACAATTTTGGTTTGTTAAACTTAGTTGATAGGATGGTCTTGTTCCATTATTGCATGTGTCAATTCATCTCAGAGAACTCTCTTATGGTTGGACATAGAAAAAAGCTGTCCTTGTTTTGATAATATCTGGATATGTGCATGCCCTGTGACCTGTGTGAACTGCTGAAGGAATTGTGAGTATTGAAAGTGTATAGCATGACAGATTAATTGATTAGGGTTATGGTAGATTTTTTTTATTATTATTCTTGTAGTCAGCTAGTCATTTTTATAGGGAAATATTGAGAATCTGCATGGTTTGGACATGTGTGTTTTATATTTAAGATATAATCTATGCTTGTGTATTCATCTTGTATGAGACAGACCTGTCAACCGCTCAGAGCTAAAATGCAGTAGGGTGGTGTAAAAAATGCAGTAGAAACCATAATTTGGCAGTAGATTTCCAAAAACGCGTAAATTCGCACTTCCAAGGGTATAGTCTGTGATTTAACCCCGAAAATCGTTTCATCTCGTCCCAGCAAATTTCGGGTGAAAATCTGACGCTTTGTTGCATAAGTTAACAAGTAAGCCGTCACTGTAGTACAAATTTCTTTTGCGATGCATTGCACAATGAGTCTGGCACTCGAATTACGCCTCAGACTATATTTGTCAAGTGTAGCCATAATGTGGTGAAAAAATCAAATTCTAAGCCAATCAGCAACCATAAAAGCAAACAACATCATAGGGTCACGGGGATCAATAGCCATAAATAGACAAGGGAATACCCTTTACGAGACGAAACACGTTGGTTTGTTTACATTTGTCAGAGAGAATTTATCTGCAAATATGCCTGGATTACGGAAAAATAACATCAGATAAATGTTGCGTTGACACTGTGAACACGGCAAGCCCCTAATTTGTAGCATAAATATAGTCAAAAGCGTAATTGTATCAATGAATGTGATATTTCCTGGAAACAAGTATTTTTTCAATTTTATTTCAGTGAAACAATATCCAAAAGAAATATGACTATAATAATATACAGATGAAAACGTTTTTTTTATGATTGAAATACTGGTTCGGTATTATAATTATATATAATTTTGAGAAAAAGACAAAAATAATAATACCTTCTGAGCTGAATGATACAACAGAATATTAATAATGATTCACCAATTATACTTGTTTTTAAACAACAATAGACATATTATAAGCGGGGTCAAATAAATATACATTTATTTAAAGAAAGAAATAATAAAAAATAAGAAATGAATGCAATTTTATATATTTCCTCATACAATATCCAACAATAACACTAGTATTATTGAAAGATTTAAATGGTACATACTAGTATATACTAGAGAAAAACAAACAGTTATCATAATAAACGGGTTCCAATAAAATGAATTAGGAAACAAGTAAAATAAAGACATCTGAGTAAGCATAAAGTGACACAATATAGCATATAGAATAAAATATGAAAACATTAAAGCCATGTACTGTACATTTAAGTAAACATGAGTGTGTTTAAAATATGTAAGTAATTTTTAAAAATTGTTTACAGAAATGTACATGTTTACGTATAAAAAATCACATCACTTCATCAATACCATCATCACTATTGAAGTCACTGTCAGTGTATGTTTCTGTTTCAACTAATGATTCAGCGTCTGTCGTTTTTTCATTCAAACAATTTTGACATTTACATAAATCCGTACCAGAAAGTTTTGACTTGTAGCAAGTACATCTATCTGTACTGCATCCTGATTTACATCCACAGTTTAAAACAGTGAGAATTTGCTTTGGTGCTGGATCTGCAGTCATTCATACAATTGAAATGGTGTTACCCTCAACAGTCCATCCATGCTTTGCTGGGGATGGGGTTTTAATCCAGGCATTCATATGGTATATATGGTAGATGTAGTATGTGCCATGATCTTA